GTGTTTTTTTCAGTCTTCTACGCTTTGTTGCATGTTTTTTTCAGCCTCATGCATTTCACATGTTATTCAGCAAAATATCTGCATTGTATGATCTGTTTGCGACATAGCTTTAATACCGGATAATATTTCCGAACGACCACGATAGATATTCACGAAGGCCACACCAGAATCAGGTCTCACATTTTCCTTGATAAGAAAACGCGTGTCAATTAGTAGAGTTTTTGCAATGTTTGAATAACGGAGAACACAGTTTATATATTTCTTTGCATCGCGCGGAAAGGGGAAGTCGGTTTCCTTTGGAAACGTCAAAGCGATCGATATGCGAAACGTGTCGACAAATTTCTACGTCTAATTATCAACACAACCTATAGAATAATATCCAGGAAATGATATCGGCATGTAACACTTGCCGAACAAGAAGGAAATCGCGCCGCCGCTATGCCCGCGTAAAGCTTTCTCCCGCATGATCAATCATCCTTCCGACCTGATTCACGTAATCCATTGTCTTCGTTCATTCTCGCAAGAAGTTCCTTCCACGGAAAGAAAAATTCATGCTTGTGTAAAGGCCCATCTACATAAGTCGCAAACGCAAAACGCATACGCAAACGCGGACGTTTATCTCTTTTCTTTTCTTTTTTAACGTTTCCTTCTTTTTTTTCTTTGCGTTTGCGTTGTGCGTTTGCGACTTATATAGATGAGGCTTAAAAGATAAACAATTGGGTCTATTGCGGATAAGCGGCGAGTCTGTTACCCGTTATATCACTTCGCATTTTCGTCCTAAGAGCATTATATCGGATGCGTTACGTGTTGCTCGTTAATGTATCCTCCCCCCCCCCCATTCGCCTTTACAGTACATTAAACCAAGCGCATTTTCTTTATCGGCATCCCGTGATGCACCCACGAATGGGAGATTATTCTCCAAGAACGGATGCGAGATTATTCATGTTGCCGATAGTTTCCACGCGTGAATACGCTGACGCATTGAAGTGAAAGAGAGAGAAAAACACGTATAAATCTCGGGAATCCAAACAGAAGAAATTATAATTCGATAGTATTTCATCTGAAAGATTCAAACACAGTGAAAGATTCTTGAAACGTATTTAGGAGCTATAGGAATTTAAAAATAAAGATTAATAAGATTAATTACAAAACAGACTAGAAAAATTACAAAATCGTACATATATTATTTTCGACATACAATTTCGAAGTTTTAATTTTCTTTGGGGTTAAGAGAGGGCAAGGCAAGGTAAAGAAACATATTAAGGTCGGAAGTCATAGAAGTGTAACGAAGAAGCCTTTAGCCTGCACTAAACGCGATCGCCATCAACAATTACGTCATATCGATGCGGACGCATCCTCGAGAAGTCATATGTGTTATATCATAAAAAATAGCATATTTAAAACAATTGAAATTTCAAACGTTCCAGCAAATTAAATACAACGTTAAATATCGTGCAATCGAAAGTTTCGCGTAAAACAGCTTAAAAGTATTCCACGGCTGCCGTGATCGTGGACGTGGGAACGTTTTTCTCATGGTCATCCGAAAGGCGTGTACCAAAAACTGAAAGTGGTTTCAAACTGGATCGGAACGTTAGACCGGTCCTAGGAGCAACGCATTATTTTCCTTCGGTCACGAGAGACCACTTCATTCGGCCCATTAACATTCCGCGTGGCCCGCCAGCCGGATTTGCATAAAGTTCCGCAGATCTGACGCCAGGATCGTATACCGGAATAAACGGCGATAAGCATAGACACATTGATGACCATTTTACTGGTTTAGTAACCTGAGACCTTAGCATATACAACACGATTATTCTGCTCGATCAGACACCGTATTTTTATTCGATAAATTCGCAGATCTTGTTTGCTGATTTTTGTTTTAAACGTTTGTTTACCAGTTTCTCTGTAAGACGCTGAATTGCATTTAATACAGTTGAGTAGTAAACCTACGTTGAGAAATATAAGCATGCACATACACACACAACAGTTTTATATATTCAAACCAATTCTTCAAAAATTTTGTTTTTCAAAAGTTAAATTAATTAAAAGTGCTTTCAAAAGTTAAATTAATTAAAATTGCAAGCAAAGAAGATTAATTGTCCGCTAAATATAAAATTTTAAATACATCCAAAAAAATTAATTTGATAAAATAAAAATGTTAAATAACCAAGAATCGTCAAAAACTGCGGATCATTTTATTGATTGGCCGCATTGCAAGATTTCACTTCAAGAGTTGTAGCGCCACATGAGATAGTGTGATTCTACAAGTAGTTCCAAATGACAATTCAAAATACTTTTCGCTTAAATGCAATCACGAAAAGCAATGGATAATACAATTGCGTAATTGAATTTAATAAAATAATTTTCGTCTCATATATTTAATATGCAATTTTGACATGCAATTTTTTCGCATGTGCAATGTATGAAGTGCAACATGGTGTTGTGCAAAAACCAGAAAATACATTGTCTAATTCTATACAATTCTATAATTGTGAAATGCGAACTCATATTTTTAGATTGGGATAATATAGTCTCTACAAAATAGCTCAGTAATCTGGTAACGTCACGCATAATTTTGCAAGATCAAAAAACCTGTTTGTAATAATACGTTGTTAAGTCAAAGAAAGAACGAAATATACAGTAAATGGATAAAAAAATGTATATTTCTAGGTCGCACTAATCCATATTATTAAATTATAATAATTTT